TAAATAATGTCATATAATGGAGGTACAGACATTTCAAGGTTTTGTACATTGATAATCTGATTTCATTAATCTAAGATTTATTAGAGAAAAAAAAAATCATATTAAAACGAAAATGATAGGTCGGTATGCCTATAAGATCTGTGAAATCCAGCTATCAGTGCCTTCATTATTTTAAAACAAATAACAAAATCGTTTTTGACTTCCATTTTCATCATACGCCTCTTCATATTGCGAACGTACACTCGTCTTCAGAGAACATGTGACGGTTGGACGGTATGAGCGCTCTTATTGCAGCGGTGAATAAGAGAGCTGACACCGTCCATGTGCGACATGTTCTCGGAGGACAAGTGTACCTACTCAATCAAAACTTTCACACGCACTATACAAATCAATTAACATGTGCATGACAGGAGTGTCAAATTGACTTCTTTGTAATGCCTATAATGATTCTGATCGAGAGATATACCGCTTCAAGCACAATTTCAAATTGAAACTTTAAAAAAATATACGTTCGTGGATGAAATAAGTCAAACTTGACAGTCGACAGCTGTTTGTTTTGAAGGTGTGTCCATTCAATCATTTTTAGCGCCTCAATTTAGTAAAGGTAGGTATACAGGGTGTTCCTTAAAGACATGCTTATATTGGAGGGGGTTATTTTCTGACTCATTTCAAGAAGAAAACTTATTATGAACGTATGTCCTAAAAGTCTTAACTTTTGAGATACAGGGTGATGAAGTTTTGAAAAATATGCAGTTTTTTTATTATAACTAAGACAAAATTGTATACATCTTTTTGAAATTTGGTACACGTCTTTTATGCATCAAGTTGCATTTTCTGATGTACAAAAATTTTCATTTTCTCTACCAGTGGCACGGTTACGGGAAAATTATTGTTTATATTTTACATAAAAGTGAGCAACGACGAAACATTTTCAAATTTCATACAATGCTATAAAATGCTATTCAATTATGTACAAAAAAGATCTTCTTGTTGATACTCGATAGAACGCTTCGTTTCCGAGAAAAAAACGGAAAAACGAGACCAAACTTCAAATTTTGATGTTTGAGTTCTCCATTCAGGACATCCATTACTGGATAACCACCGTATGTAACATTTCGGAATTTGTATACCGATTCAGTCACATAGCAGATTGAATTTTGCCACCACGAAAAGCTATGAAAGGTAGACAACAATTTTCAACATTGACACCCTGTATCTCAAAAGTTAGGACATATGTTCATATGAAGTTTCGTTCTAGAAATGGGTCAAAGAATCGGCCCCTCGAATATTAGCATATCATCAAGGAACACCCTGTATATAGAGATATTTTAATGTGACTGAAATAATTCCTATAATCGAATAAACTATATGTGTTACACATGTCAACGTACACTGCAAATGTTTATATTCTACTATTCCAAGAACTCTTCTACATAATGCAGGTAATATTTTATGAAATTCTAAGATATCTACACTGTACTACTGGTGGTATTGCTTGTACTGTTATGTGCATAAGTTCAACAACACGGAAGTGTGGTTAATGTAGTTTGTCGATACAGTATCATTTTTAAACTCTTATCAGGTCGTCAACATTAATATTTTCATAATTTCTTATCAGCGGTCATTTCATTTTTCCAAATATTCGACAAATCTAGGTAAATTCCAGATAGATCTATCTGTTACTGATAAACTCAAATGTCTATAAGCTGTATTGTTTTATACCTATATCTACTATCTATGATTCATTCGTTCACTTGTTTTGTTTCGTGAAAAGAAACAAAACAATTGATATTGTTAATTGCTTTTTGTATAGACATTTGGATCTCATTTCGTGGTAAAAATTGTTTCCGTAAATAATTGATTTTGAACACCAAAAGGAAATTAGTGTGCTATTTCTTAAGTAATCAGAAAATCGAAAAGTTGATTGGTTCGAATCTCCGGCAGAGCTGAGAAATGAAAATTCTAAAAACGAATTATAAATTCTAAATTTCGTAGCCTCGGCCGGAGAGGATTACGCACGATTTGCTGTTACGTTCCAATTAACAGTGCTGCTCCTAAGGTGACGTATGGAGTTAGTAACAAAGCATACACATAACACACATGGCTGGAGGAACTCTCGTAAGGTCGATGGCCAGTCGGTGTGTACATGCACAACAACAAAGTACATACTACTACTACTGGCTATTCATCATCAGAGTCACTAATCCTCTGTTTCGCTATCATCTACACATGGCTCAGCAGATGGAGCTAGCGCATAGCATGCTATTATTTTGAATGCATAAATTGATTAGAAAACCGTGATCTTAATCAACCACACCTGCACATGATGTTTTACACCTATTTTCACTGAGATTTCCAAATAACGAGTTTTCATTATTGTTCATTGATTTCAAGTTGTCGCTCCCGTTACCGAACGGCGTAAATAATATTTTATACTTTTTCAGGAGAGCATTTTAAAGATTTTGCGGTACAGTCAAATAATTATACTATAATCGACCTTGTTTTGGAATTTTTGCTCTGCTCTAAGGATATATTAATACATTTTCATGAAAAATGAATCAGTATCACGTGACTACGCCATTTTGGCTTTTTTCCTCAGATACGGCTAATGGTACCGAATGTTTTTTCATAGTTCCACTTCTTTAATTCATACAGAGAATCCGAAACCCAACATTTTTACCTCCCCAAAAACATAGAAGGATTCAAGAATACAATAAAAAAAGAAATACATTTGAAACTACACTTTCAAAGGTAGGTAAGTAAACACTGCACCGCCTACTTGAAATCGAATTGACTAGTCGTACAACTCAATACATGAAAGAAACAAACCAAACAAATAATATAGGGGAATCATAGCCCAAGACCGAAAATCGTAGAGAAAGTTGAGATTTTTTTTAAACCGAGAGTCGATATGGGGGGTCATATCTCCCTTATCCCCCCGTAGATACGCCACTGCTAATCTCCTGAAATCACCTTCAAAATAACAATGCAATTTAATCTTTATTTAGCGATATATAACCAATATCTCAATGAGTTCTGAATTAATTGGGTAATATTCCAGTACAGTTTTTGGATATTTCTTTACATACTTCACAAACTCAAAAATTGTTATAATTTTAGTTTTCTTCAGCTTTCACTCCACTCAAATATACATAAGCAACTATTCGAGTGAAATTATTCAAAGTCAAAGTTAAGAAAAAAAAATATTGTCAACTTCTTTGTTTTACTAATTCGCTTGATCTGTGATTCCATAATCCATTGTGAAATTATTATACCTACCAAAACCAATATTGGTGATGATGTAGTTGATGGTTTGAAAACAAGCTCAAAAGCTGATCAATACAACCTATCGCTTTTACTTTCCACCGAATTATTTGTCTAGTCATTAAAATCTACCAATAGTCAAAAATATCTGCGGAAATAAGCATATAAATTTAAGCGAGGTGTGTCAGTTGTACTTTCTCGATTGACCCAAAATTTTAAGAAGGTAGACATAATGATTTCATTCTTATATTCTTTAAAAAATTCAATATTTCACTATCCTTGCATGAATTTTATGCTCAGATAAATTAAACTTATAGGTAGTCGAGCTGGTAGTGATAGAAGAAGAAGAGCTTTCGAATCTGGAATCTTTATCATATACCTAATAACATATTGTTAAAATTCAATATTTCACTTTCGTTGCATGAATTTTATGCTTAGATAAATAAGACATAGTGATAGACGATGGTACTAATTTAAGTCCCTACCTTCTATTTGGTACTGTATGCTTTCTTATCTTTATCATCAGTATATAAATATGTACCTATACTAATCACTATAGACCGGCGACGCAATTAATATTAGTAATAGTAAAGTTGCTAAATCTGAGTAGAAGTTTGAATTATGTACTACCTACTCAATCCTGAATTTCGCAGAAAGTGAACTCAGAAAAATATAGATAAAACACTCTCAATGACAACAAATCAAGCCTCGAGAATAAAACTATTTGATGACACATCAGTTTAAACAAAAAAAAGCATTGTGTGCAGGGTTGTCATTACAAAAATATATGAAATTAATCATTCACATAATTTAAGTCTGTGTCAAAAGTTTACGGTTGGTTATTTACACATGCATTATCCGTGTGTGTTTGTGTGTGTGTATACAGGACATTACTGGATATCCATTTTCATGGAAACCAGAACATGAAGATATGTATATATATATAATCTGAATAATGAAAAAAATCTCCAAGAATGTTGAGCTTCAACTATTAAAGTTCAGAAATAATATAAAGATGATAAATATTTTTGGCTTTCACGTAAATATCTTCATTGCAATTATTGTTATATGCACATACTGTCAATGATTTTCGGAGTTTTTATAACTAACTTTCTTGCAACATTATTCTCGCTGGAAATTAGACGTTAGTTAATCTTCCCTGGCTACCTACCAAATGAATAAACTGAAAATGTCAAAAATAAAGGAAAAACATGCTGTTACCTAATATTTTCATTAGAGTGCTAGTGGTGCTAGTATGAGAACATGGTTGAAATAAAGATTATCAACTCCACATTACCTTTGCCAGAAACAGATGTGGAGGGAATTTGTAATAAAATTGATTACAACTATAACCTACAAGTTACAATGCTCGAAATAAAAAAAGTAGGAATAAAAATCGATATTTCGATTTTCGTAACACAAATAATCTGATAACTTTAACAGTTTTTTTTTTCCACCGGTTCAATCAACAAGTATGGTTTCAAATATTGAAGAAGAATTGCATGCGGGGGCCTCTTTTAGGTCGCAAGAATATGTTCCAGAACACCGGCAGTTACGGATCTGATTAAGAAAACTAAATCTCCTATCTTGAATTTGTTTACGAACTTGTTGCTAAGATAAAGATCAAAATCACGTTGGGTAAATTTTGATACAGAGTTGCTATATCTTTCTAGATAGCAGCTAATGATTGGAGTACAAAAATGGACCCAAGAAAATAATATCAATCGTAGTGTGTGATGGAATCTGAGGAAGCACTGAAATATTATTTAGATGAAGTGAAAGATACTCAGCATGATATAAATATCATCGAAGAGGAGGTTCACATCCCAAACGGTAAGTTTTATACACTATTTTTCTCTTTCAATGCCAAAGTGAGAGTAGCTGCGTTGGCCTCCATGGGCGTCGCCAGAAAATTTTTCAAAGGGGGGGCTGAAATTGTTTTTTCAGGACAGCAAATAATCCAATAAGTTGTATAATTCAGACAAAATTGAAAGTGTGACGCATGTGGAATTGTTTCGATCTTCTGATAGAGAGTTGAATTTTTTCACTGGTATCGCCGGAAACATATTTTAGGACTTATATATTAGCTGAATATTAATCATTCCGTGTCTCCAATCCATGATGTTAGAGATGACTTCTTTATATTTCCACTGGCAAAACTAAAAGTAAAATGTGACTCGTTTATATAGTTATTATTGGAAAGTGATAGCTGCCAACCGCAATATGTTCCTATTTTCATTGATAGAAAACATTCATAATCATTCAGTATGCATATATAGTAATGATATGAAACATATTCATCATCATTTAGTACAGGGTTGCACAAACCGCGGACAACTGTCAATATTTATGCGGCCCGCCAAAGAATTTTAAAAATTAAAAATCAATGGAACGTCATGCATCAAAGTAATAAAATACGAAATATTATAAATTACAAACATTCTTGAATGTTCTTTTATTTTTTTTCAGTAATTCATACTATTTAAAAATATGAATATTTGTTCTAGTATGTATTCTTTGTAGGACCCTTCTTTGACTTGTAATTTTCCGGAGTGGCCCCTGATCCCTATAAGTCTCTGCATCCCTGATTCAGTATATAGTTTTTTACTATTGGACCTTTGATCATAGTTCATATTATGTGGTACTGAATGACCAATGACCTAATTTTTCAAACTCCAAAATGTATTAAGAGTAGGTAGGTCCGTGTTTCTGATTTCAAAATCATTTCAGTTACAAGTTATAATCAACAATGAAATAACATCCCGTAGCTTTTGGTTAGGTATACTGGGCAAAAGATAAATGGCCCACCTCATCCACAGTTAACGTTTATGGCCTTCGAAATCGAATAAGAAGAATACAACATTTGTTTTTCTAATTTTGACATATAGTTTGGCACTTTTCAAAACTGACGAAAGTTTCGAAGAAAAGTCTAACTTCACGTCACCAGTTGCGTAAAATAAAATATTACATAACTGGTTTATTGAAACACTAGTTACGTAAAAAAATATGGATGGACGAAAAGAATCGTGCATTTTGTGCTGCTTCCTCAATATCCCTTAGAGCAATTCTGAACTTGAATCAGCTATTTTTCACTAATGAAGATATCAAATGAGTCTACTTCGTGAATTTCGTCGCTGATTTTTGATCATATATTATTTTTTGACGGATATTTGAAAGTGACGAACTCGCCTACTAAATTTTTTACATAATCGGTAGAACTCTTGTGTTTTGCGTGATCTCGCTTCGCTCGTCCCGCAAAATCCCATCGTTACACAAAATAACGCGTTTCCTAACTGGTTACGTAAATATCTATTCTTGTTTGCCCCAATATACACTATGACGATAACAAAATCGCCCAAAATACATGTATAATCTGCAAACTCATTCGTTATAACCTTAGTTAATTGCACCATCATTATTCCCAAATGTATATTCGAATTTCTGAATGTTCTAGAAGCGGAACAAGCCACTGATTTCCTCCATAATGCCGGTTTGTCTGATTTGACGAACCTCTACCATCAAGGAGAAGAAATAACGGAAACTGTGATCAAGGACTCAGTCAGACAGAGAAATCTGACCGAAAAGCAAGCCCAGACGATTCGTTCGCGAGTAAAGACCCTAAATAAAACTCTTAGAAGCCGACAGCCAAGAAGGAAGCAACGCCAAGATATAAGAGATGTGTCTTGGAATGTAGAGGTAAGATTGTCATCATCGGCGTCTAGTCTATACATCAATGTCGATTTTGTTGATATTCCGTAAATTTAACTTTGTCATGTCATCAAAGCACTAGTAGATAAATTGACAGCTTTCACCTGCTTATCTCATCTCGATCCTAATCATTGAATTGCATCAAAAAATGCTCGCATAACAATGAAGAAAATCGAAGGAAAATAATTTGAATGTACTACTTACTCTACCAACTAAATGAAACAAGAAAAATTACTCTGATGAAACAATCAAACATACTTCAGATCACCTCAATTCTGAACTGATAATGTATCTTACTTGAGAATTATTTTTCAGACATCAAGTACGGGTACAAGATCTAGATCAGCAACACCAGATTCTCTGGACTCCATTGATACTCTTAATGATGATCTAACATCTGATGAAGACCAACACCTCAATTCCTTGAACCCACTGTAAGTAGTCACCTACAGCTTATTAGAATTTGAATCACAATTTTGATAACCACAGACGGAACGATTTGCAGTAAATTTCCATTATTCCAGATATGGTTGGTTGACGAGGGTCTGTTTACAGGTTCCCGATCCAGCGTTGCCAATTGCCACTTGAGCTGAAAGATGCATTCCAGTTATTTTCTTGTACACCCTGTTTATTCTACAAGTTTGAAGGAAGGAATTTATCTTTAAATGCGTGAATCAGCGGGAGGCATTCCAGTTATTTTATTGTACACTAAGTTTGTTCTATAAGTTTGGAGGATATATTCCTTCCTCCAAACTTGTCGAACAAACAGAGTGTACAAACGTCTCATGTTGGCGGTTCATACCATTTCCCTTAAAAAAAAAAATTTCTTTTTCTACTTTTCTGTTTGTCTTTTCCATCTGAACCATATAGAAAAGTATTTGGTTTGCATATCACCAGGATGTCCATCAACTGTGTGATAATAGGAACCGACCTGAGACTATACCGAGTTGTTTCAAGTAGGTGATAACAGATATAACGATTTTTTTTTTCAAATGAAAAACTTCATGAACTTGGCAACGCCGGATCTGGAACCAGTAAGCAGGCGCTCGTGTTAGTTTTAGCCTATATCAACTCATACATAAATGCATATATCAATCATAAACTCCTTTTCATTATTTCATACTAGATCGACCGATATGCAATGTGACACACTTTAGTAAACCAATAATTGAATGAATTGTTATTTTATTTTTATTAAGATATATCATTCAAGAAAAACTCACGGGAATTTATTGAAAAGGAATATTCTCAGATATATTATGAACATGAAAACATGAATATATATAAGTATATAAAGAAATACATTGAGGATTCGCATTCTCCATGTGATGATAATATTAATTCTTTCTCGGTATATTCAACAGAAAACAACTACTTTCCTGGCTACATGCCACGACGAACATTGAAATATATCTATTGAACATACACGATAAGAATTTGAAAATAAAATCTGAAGTTGAGAATTTGCATTCTCCTTCAGAAAAATAAATGTATACATAATATCATTCTGAATAGTGAATAGAAAACAACTACTTTCCTGGCTAATGCCACGACGAACATTGAATTATATCTATTGAAAACGCACGATGACAATTTCAAAACAAAATCTTCTGAAGTTGAGAATTTGCCTTCTCCTTCAGACAAAAATATGTGTATGCACTTATTATTCTGAATATTCAACAGGAAACAACTACTTTCCTGGCTATTTGCCACTTCGATCATAAAATTATATCTCTTGAGATGTTTTTGTCGATTTTATGTCGCAACTTTGAGTGGCACGTAACGCCTGACATTTTAACAATGGCAATGCTAATTTTAGGGAATAAAAATCTACATTCTCTGTAATTATTATACAACAAAAACGTCTTGATTACGTTTTTTTGACTACTATTTTGGTCTATGTTGAGCAATCATAAGATCAACTGAAGATGAGTAACTGCCTTTCAATTCACGAAGAACAAGTTTTATTGATTTAATGATTTCAAATCATCCCGATTTCGTTCACTCGGGTGGGCCAATTCGTGAAATATTGAAAGTTTTCAAGATATAATTTAATTCCTAGATCTTTTCATTTTTTTTTCTCATCTAGTTCTCTTGATCCACAATCTGGTATAAAAACGAAAGTGAAATGGACGAGTAGTGAGCCCCTACAAAATAAGAAGTTCAACAGGAACGATAAGGGGGATGTAGCCCATTTGGGTTCAGAAAATGTGATATTGAAGGGCTACCAAGTGCTAACAGAAAATGGTACGTTACCGCGGCCTATACAAAGAGAAAGGAGTGGAAGTGACCCCACCACTGAGGTTCATCTTCAACCCTTGAACGAAGATGCAACCGAGGGACTGAGGTTAGAAATTTCATCTTATGAATCAAATGATTATTAATATTTTTTTTAAAGGGTGAAACCAAATAACCTTCATAATCAATTGTCTCGAAGTCATAATAATTTACCAGTGAATAATTGCAGTAGAATATATATAAACAGTGGGGAAAGTGAAACAGTTAGTTTTGAAGGTATATTAAGGCAGACTGAAAATGACCAACTGAATACTGTGATTTCCGAGGTAAAAAAATATACATATTGGACGATTTATACAAGAGAAATGTGTGTCATTCTTACAGAAATGGGGTACAGATGAAGGCATCAGTATTGACCAATTGAGTGATAGTGAATACCAGTATTTGAAACCACTATTATATGTGGAGTTAGTTGCCATATTTGACCAATACAAGATTGTAAAAAGTTATTTGAAAAGGAAGGCCAGTAAAAATAAAGGTGAGGCAACTACATGCACATGTTCCATTGCCTGAATAGGTCCCTACTTTAATCATATAACCTTCACTGCGTCCACCATAAAGTTTTAATAAATATGGGAAAATACGCCAGGCGATACATAGAGATCTAGTCATGTTATCACCATCTAGTGGTCCAAGACCTAAGTTGGGGTCAAATACCCAATCGTCAGCAGACCCAGAGAGGCTGAAGAGGTCTAGGCACAACTGGAGCCACTATATTCATCCCAGATGTCTGAGTTATGAGATCAATTTTTTTGTATGAAGAAATAGATTATTCTTTGGATGTATCAAGTTTCACTGATATTATGTTGTAGATATAGTTTATAAAAACTTCCATGTTTTTGTTCTACTCCACACTTTAATAGCACGAGTTCAATTTCAGAACCATTTCTTCAAATTTTGAATTGACTTGGCTGTTACTTGATGGAAATACATAGTGAATGTAAGAAACTTCACAAACGATGATTCCTACAAAATTCTCAATCACACGACATGTTTCGCCATCAAGCCAATGTAAGTTTAGTTTATTGTACCAGTATTTCACCTGAAGAAGTGTTGGTGAAACATATCCTGTGTTTAAGAATTTTGTGGAAATCTTGTCGTTTATGAAGGTTTTTACCGTTTCTTCAACTCGTAAATTGTTTGTTTATTGGTACGAGTTGTACACTAACTGAATATCGAAATTATTATGGTCAGCTTTACCTATATTACAAGTTGATTTTTGTATTAAAATATCTTCCTAATAAGGGTTGAATTATTTTTAGGTGGTAATGTTTTTGGAGTGAATCTATCAACGTTAGTTATGCGTGATATGCCCAGACCCTCTGACATTTCTATGGTGCCTGAAATATTCAAAACCATTCTCAGTCATCTGAACACAAGATGCATAAACGAAGACGGTATCCTTCGAATAGCAGGCCAAAAACAAAAACTAGAAATATTATGCAACGAAATTGAATCCAAATTCTACAATAATAGAAAAGACACAGAAAGTTTGCTTGGTCAAGCAACTGTACATGAGTTAACTGGAGTACTTAAGAAACTATTGAGGGATTTACCTGATCCTCTATTCACCATGGAACTATTCGAACTATTTTTTAAAACAAGTGGTGAGTATATTTTGGAAAACACAAAACTCATTAACTATGAGTGATAACAGATTTTCAGAAAGTTGATTTCTACAGTTCTTTCTTCTAACACATCAATATTATTTTCAGCAATTTCAAATACAGAAGACAAAGTGAAAGCTTTGAATTTGTTGGTACTGATGCTTCCAATTGAACATCGAAATACTTATAGGTTACTTCTGAACTTTTTCCTGAATATAATAAATCACGAAAAACAGAATCGAATGAATTTACACAATGTAGCCATGATTACAGCTCCATCTTTATTTCCTCCAAGACTGTTATTACCTAAGTAAGTATAAGTGTATTGAAATGTGCTTCAATATTCGTCTTTCAAAATCAGGTGATATTAAATTATTTCCGGAATATACAGGTTGTTGCATATTCGAGTAGAAATTTAATGTTTTTTTTAATTGGGTTCATTCCATATTGATAGGGATTATCATTATGAATTCAAAGATATCAGGTTGACAGGGTATGTCAGACGGCTAAGAAAAATCAAAAACTCATCCATAATAATTATACCAGACCAAAATCTAGGAAATATCAAGTTTTTAGGTTGCATTATACATAGGAAAATGCAATGTGTCTTCAAAGAACATGTTTGTTAGCTGGACTACCCAAAACTACCCAAAACGCGATTGTTTGTGTGTTAGATTTGTTCTAAAATTAGTGCCTTCAATTATAATTGGACATGACGCAGATAAACCCAACCCATATTTTGTAGAAAAGTTGATGGAACACACAGTACAAGACATATAAAATGCATATACACGATCAGTCGCTTAGTTAGATTTTATTAAACAATTCCTGGTTACCGTCTAGTTGATTAATGAACATGTCCTGCGCTGACATACCCGCACCCTATCTAAGCACTTTGAGAAAGGGGAAGGTTTTTGGCAAAGGGGTAATATCATTTATTATAGAATCACTAAATTTGACTTGCAGTTTCTGTTTCAGGGATAATGATAAGATTATACTGAAGCACCTCACAAAAGAAGATTTGAATAAACAGATCAAGGACGCAGCAGTCTGTTGTGTTATAATGGAAACCATGCTCAATGCGGGCGATAAGTTATGGTCCGTCCCGACTCATTTGGCCGATCAGGCTCGAGAAGCCCAAAGGCGGGCTCAGATCCGAAAAGATTTGAGCAAAGATAAAGACAAGAGAATTGTACGTTATATCATTGAGACAATTTTATGCGGGTTTGGTGGTGTGGGGAGTCGAGGTGATGGAGCATTAAGTAATTTGGTGTCGTTTGTCGTTTGAATGGAGTTATGCTTGTGTGGGCTTTGGTCGTTTCCCAATCCAATGGTCCTGAAAATATCCGCTTTTTCGTTCTCAATTCATTATTTATTTCAAGTGCTCCACATTTCCTCATTGTGCATATTATATAGAAAAATCCTGCATGTAGCATGTTACAGTCCGCTAGTTATTTTATTCGCGTTTTTCTTCTTGGCTTTCTCCGAGTATTTGTCCTTAAATCATTTATGTATGCGTGAAAAGATAGAAAATATGTGATTTCATAAAATAACTCAATATATTTATTGAGTTATAAGAAATTACTGGGAGAATGAGACCATACGGATATCTCCTCATGTTAGGTATAGATGGCAGCTCACAACTCACAGCGAGAAGATGCATAATAAAGCTCGGACTGTTCACATTCACTGATTTAGGGTTATACTGGACAAATATCAGCTCATTTTCTACAAACTATTCTAAATGTTTGAACATTTTTCGCTTATTGCCCTTGAAACGAACTTTCTGTTATTACGACCAATCAGAATCCGAAGCGCTATAAGCTGAAATGCGGAAAGCTGTCATCTGTACCAAGCATCAGTTCATCAATTGATTGTGACGAAATTTGATACAGGAATATCACGCATCACTTCGTGTCGACAAATTGCAGGTGACTACGAGATTACTACTCAGCCTTTCATTAGTTTTTATGATATGAATTTAAAATGTCGTGAATTATTACGTTGTTCTAGATGCAGATTATGAATATTGAACATCTGATTTTACTTAAGGTATGACCGTGTGAGTGTACAAAAATCGAAGCGTTTTTCACTCGTCACACTAGCTCGGACTTTTTGGACACTGAACACCTTTTGCGTGTTTTACTGAGAGTTTCAAGGGCGAATTTTGTCGAGAAATGGCTTTTAAACTTACTCGATGCTCGCTCAAAGTTCGAGTTTTCAGAACCGTGCTCGAGTGGGAAAATATTTGAAATCTTGATGAGTATGTCTCGTTGAAGTTTATTGCAATAATGATTTCCGAAATGATCATTGAGATGTAGAAGTTCTTCGTTACGAAATGGAATTTACCGAAAATTCAGAATCACATAAAAGTTATAAGAAGGTGTTCAGATGTGCAGATATTCATTTAGTTGTTGATTCAGTAATGATGAAAAATAGTTACATCGTAAACGACAATTCAATGTTGAATCACTGTTGTCGACATTTAATTGAACATCATTGAGAATGAAGAAACCATCTTCATAAGACTGTTGCTAGCAGTGCTTTCAGAGAAATCACAAAAGGTGTATGAGCGATGTGGACCAGCGAAACCAAAGGTACTATCAATCCGCTATCAATAATTTAACTTTTTGATTGACAAAGATATTCTGGCGAGAAGGAAAAGATAGTCACAGTCACACCTAGAGTGACTTTATAAATAGAGTGACGACGATAGACATCCAAATGGCTGCCATTTCCGGAATGTCAAGTCACTGAATAGCTGAAAATCTGAGGGGTATCTCCCATGCATTAATGAATTTGCGCCTTCGAAGTGCCCACCTGATGTTGGGTTCAGATATTTGATATTTTTATTCCATCCTCTAAATGATCTGAGACGAGTCCCAAAAGACGGGTTATAAGTTAATATCCAAGGTAGTGACGTATAGAGTTTCATGTCTGATTGTTGGATGTTTTGTGTCCATAGAGCAAAAAACAGAGACGAATCATTGACAAAGTGAAATAGAATGCGCATAACTAAAGTTGCATTTTTGTTGTTCCATTCTGGTAATGGTGATGGAAACAGAATGATGTTTACAAATAAAACAAGTAACCTCATGACCTCGCATGAGAGAATTGACATATAGATGATAGAGGTTATATTCAAATATTCGGTATTCGGGCCTCTAATTATTTCAATAGCATAATACTCGATTGAAAAATCAAGAAAATGAATGAAATGAATTAATGCATATTTGGACCAATGATTGTGGTGCTTGGAGAAAGTTCTCTGAGATCGAGACAATTCATTTTATCTGGAAATGAAGATATGAAACCTTTCTCACCTGAAAGAATCATGAACTTTTTTTCGTCAATCTAATTTAATTTTTTGACAACTGTCAACAGTCATTCTACGTCGTTCCTATTAGTGAAAAGGAATGAAATGTAGCAACCGGAATCGGAAAAGTTGCAAATAAAACGACACATCAAAGTGATTCCGGTGGCGGAATAAATAAAACGCAACTTGTATCACGGAGAAAACAAGACAGGTGGATGCACCTCCATATTAGAGATCTGACCAATCAAAAAGTCACTCTATATAGTCGCACTAACTCTCGATTTATATTCGTGCTAACCGCACTATTCGAAAGAACCGAGCCAGTGCCAATTGTGCTTGCTCTATGCTAGTGCGCTTTGTAAATCGGCGAGTGAAAAACGCTATAATAATTTTTTATTCTCGCCCCAGATCCTTTCTGCAAATCATCATTCGCTTTCTGTGGAAGTGCTATGCATTTGATTCCAATTTTCGGTTGCCAAATTCACTGATTTAATTGAACATTAAGTCATTATTCTGAATATTATCAACTAGACCCAAGTTTGAAAATTATTAAAGCGATTGAATAGCGTTAATATTTTTTTTGTCAAAGTGTCGCAAAATTTTCATTCAACTCCAAACTAGTCCGTACATGTAGAAAAATGATAAAATTGTAACAAATTATTCATCAGATAGAAAACCAGATATTGGTCATTTTGTTCATCTGTGAAAATTGATATTGACTATCATATGCTCATTGTCACTCCCTTTAAATCCCTTCAGTATAGTGAACTGTTTTACATTTTACAAATAATTTGGTTTGGTTTCAGCGGTCCGGTAAAACGAAATTAGTAAGAAGCAGTACTCAGTATGAGCCAGGTGCTATGAATATACCAAAATTTAAAAGAGATTTATTCATTTAATATGTGTGGTGCACCAAGAAGGCTCAATTACAATTAATGTACCTTGATAATTTACAGTGCCTCAATAAGTTTTAATGATTTACCTAATTTTTCATTGTGATTAGAATAATATTTACACAGTAATTTATACAATGAATGTCTGTGCCAAGATAAACAAATTTTATGTAAGTTTTTACCATTTATTCAAAGTATGTATCCAAATTCCTTTACCCACTCCAGACCTTCCCTGGTATCAGCCAGTGGCTTGTATTCCAAGCCTATCCAATCATCATAACCTTCTTCTTCCAGGACTTTCAACACAAATTTGTAATTTATCTCTCCACTGCTGTCTGGTTCATGACGTGAAGGGGCTTGAGCAATTTGGACATGACCAATATGTTCTTTGAATTCCCTTATAGTATTGGCAATATTGCCTCTGATTAGTTGTAAATGAAAAATATCAAGCATCAACTTCAAATTAGGGCTGTTGATTTTTTTTATAACAGATAATGCTGGAAAACAGTGAAGTGCCTACTAATTTTTCATTAAAATCAGACAAAATGCATTAATTACCTTTATCATAACAATTCATGTAGTAGCCTGGGATTGAATACTTATTTATTGGTTCTATGAGGCCCAACAAGTTCTCTTTCACAAGAAGATCCACAGCATACCTTAAATTATTTTCATATGCTGCATCATGAGCTGAAGTTATATTACCTTCAATTTTTCCTGCCATTATATGGATTCTATCAAAACAAAATAGTGTTATATTTATGATTATTGGTGACCTAGAGATGGTCCATTGACACAAAAATAATTTATATACTTACCTAACAAGTACTTTATTACCCAATCAACTTACTTTTTGACCCCTAAAGCTTTTGCATAATCAATGGTCAAGTTTATGCTTTCTCTGAATTCACTGTCTTTGCCGGGTATAGCAGCAAAGCCTAGCTCTCCTTTAGTAACATCTCCTGAAATGTATTGAATAAGTATCAGGTTAATGCAATCATCAAGCAATACCTGTGTAAATGTTGATCAAGATTTGATCAACATTGGCTGCTTTTTTTGCTTCAACTACTTGTTGCTTGGTGAAACCGAATGGAAAACCTGTTTCAACTGCCCTAAATCCTACTGCTTTGGCGAGATGGTACCTTTCTAATAGTGGTTTCTCAGGGAACAGGAAAGCCAAATTCGCAGAAAATTTCGCCATGTTTTGAAAATCTGTTCTCTGCTCACAAAAGATTGGGATGTAATAAAAAAATATTATGAACAATATTCCCATCAGGTTATGGTTATCGCCTTGACCGCGTTATCAGTATGTACTTAGCTTAGTTATCACTGGTTAGTGGTTATCACTTATACAATAAGATTCTCCCTATCGGTAATATGTTTGCCCAACGACCGAACGAAAATACCCGAACTGCACCAGCGCTCTACCGTGAAACTAAAAATAAGGCGCCAACTGCCAAAATAATATATGTTTTTACATGCAGCAGTGTACATATTTTTTGTGGGTGTGAAAAAATTTTTGAGTCACAGGTAAGTAATACAAATACCCTATTAGGATGATGTACCTACATCTGCAGAAAATATGAGAGTTGTATATTATATGCAAGAATGAAAATTGTTTCAGTGGTCGGTTTTTATTCGGTAGAGGCCATCAATATAATCACTATATTGTGTATATACAGGGTGTCTCTCACCACGACTGATTGGAATCTGATAACTGCAACTTATAGAGAAGGAACAATGGCTGCAAAACTGTCATATTTATTATGGTCCATCTCTTTTAGTAGAATGAAATAAAAAGTTTTTGTCGTAGTCTCAAATCCTAAGAATTGTTTCGATTTTACAAAAAAGATAGACCCTCGAATAGACCAAGACATTTCTGCTGCCGTTATTATTCTTTCTTCTCTAAAAGATGCCGTCATCAGATTTTTGATCACTGATGATGGTTTTTAGGTTCGAAACGTCGAATAATTGTGAAGTGCAATATTTCGTTGGATTCGGAATTGAGCTTGGGCTTTCTAAGGGCCAAAAACATTTGTTCGACTATTTAAAAAACAAAATTGATGGCTCCTCGAAGACGAAACGTCGGATCACAAATCTATCAATTCTATTGGATAGAGTGGGAAAAGTGGCACTGATAATGAGAAATGCATTTTGTTATATCTATTCAAATAATGTCCGAAAAAAAAAACGAAATCGCGGATATTCGGCCTTCTCAAATATCTTCGGAAGTTTTCGATGTTTTCAAACTTTTGAACTCAAGAATCCCAGAGCAAGACGAAAGCGACAGGCAGCTACATATCGCTGCGTCGCGTCGCTGCTGTAACACCGCTTCGGGTATTTTCGATCGGTCGTTGGGCAAACATATTACCGATAGGGAGAATCTTGTTTTCGGCAGTACTGGTACAGGGGGGCTAGTTTTGAAATATAACATAACCATAACTTATGATCTTCATAGTGCTTATGATCTTCCAAGCTCTAGCTGTGAAATGTTTTAAGATATCAAAAAGAGAATAACAAACCATCTTGTAGATTAGTGGCAGTTTCAATGTCTACTGCCTTTGTGAGATCATCCAGTTCGAATTAATAGATTTTCCCAAAGTATTTGAAAATAATAATAATAATATAGTTTTTATCAACTCATGCCATTCAAACGCTTAACCTGAAATTTCAAAAATACTGTCACCAGTTCTATCTACACCGGTGACCAACAGTAAACTTTAAGCCTCTGACAGGGTTCCTTGCAATGACCCGCGAAAACGTTGCCAGTGAATTTCAGTAAAATCTGATAGCGAATTCCATTGGTAAAACTGGATCGCACTGAGTGCATATTTTGTATTCCTTTGGTAAAACTGGTGTCGGGTTCTGAATTCCATTGGAAAACTGGTTCACATAGTTTAGAGCTCAGTGCAACAATTCTCGCACGAGCTCTATTAGGTCGTGCGAAGTCAGTGCAGTTTTGAGAATGGCGGAAACATTGAATATGCAAAGTTTAAAAATCAAAATTGCGTGGCAATCTAATCATCATCATCAAGTAGTGTTGAAAATTTGGAGGTTTCAAGAAAATAAAGGAGACTACTTTCCACAATTCATAATTTTGTTGAGTGTTTTACACTAAAATTCAATGATGAAGAGCAGGTTCTTATTTAAAAAAAAAACTCCTCAGAATTATTTCTATGAAACATCTACTTTATTCTCAATTGGAGTCAAGAAAGAATTTCAGGATACGGACAAGTTATGAACAATGACAAACCAATTTATCCGATTTAACCTCCAACAATAAAATTTTATTATATTATTTCGTATTCCATTGGGAATGCACCAGTTTACATTTTGGAGAGAACCAACGTAGTGCGGGTGCAAAACTGGTGCAAAACCAGTGCACCACCAAGTTTACGAATGGAATTCGCTATGAATGATATTAAAAACTGGGCAGTACTGTTCGGGAATATCGGAACATGCTCTCAAGTCTGTGGTTTGACCGGGCACATACGTTCAGTATGAAGCACTAAAGAAACCTACTATTCTTTGGCCTGACCCAACAGAGATTTGGGAATATCGGTCACGTTTCAAATTACGAATTCCACTGGCAAGGACTGGTGGAGTGTTTCTCCACTGAGTGTATACATACCACTGTTTAACAAGTGCGAGTAAGAAGGAAACATATACATTGAGTGCAGAAACACTCCACCAGTTCTTGCCAATTCGCCCACTACCATGTTAAGCTGTGGAGTTGAGTCAGCCATTGACCATACCATTCTGGTATCACCACTGTGGTCAGACGGATGACTTGTCACTTGACACAGCACTACTCTGTCTCACTCTCACTGTCCTGTCGACTCCTGTCTACTGTCACTCTGTAGTCAACTCGTCAACTGTTCTTCCCTCCATAGTCCATCGTGTCTATAGCCCATTTTTTTTTGGCAAGGCAAGTTTCTCTTCGGAGTTCGGGTCATCGACCAATGTGAAGATACAGAAGGTGAATATTGCAATCTGCTGAGTGAGAACTAGTGCGTTGGGATTTTGCTGTGGTTGGGATATCCAGGTTCTCTCTGGATTTCGCATTTTGGTTTTGTATCCATTATAAAGTCTAGTTCATAAAACAGTTCCTAGTGGATAGTGGGTTTTGGTTTCATTTACAACAGAATAATTATTCGATCGTAATTCAGTTACCACACAAAAGGTAAAATAAATCAATGACCAACTGTAGTGTTGTGCATAAATAATAATCTTTTAGTTATGGAATCCCGAATGACCTCAATTATAGTTTAATTCCGTTCGAAATTATTCACTTCTTTGGCCTATCAGGGTACTGTACCCCGTCGAGCATGCAGAGGCGTATTTCTGATCCTGATTGCCAGGCTAATTCAAATAAATCAGAAGTCAGTAGATGATAAGTAGTTCAAGTAACATCAAGAGAAGGAAAAGGAATTCAAGTTCAGCTGGCAAACTTGCTGCATATCAGATACCTACACATATACCTATGACAGTCTTGACTGACCAATAGGTTTTTTGGAATAAATGTTCCATTTGTCTATAGCTTCTGGATTATTTCAAGGATCTACCCAAAGGACTTGGAATTGTGTTTTATACCTAGTTCGGTATTTTTGGAATACTATAAGTTTCACCAGTAGTGGAACCATGCATCATGAATCAAGAAAAAGGCACCATTCACCCTCCAGATCTGTTTCTCATTTCCATGATAGGGGTTCTAACCCTTATGGAAAACACAAAAAATATTCTGATGAAAAGGATCATGTAGATAAGAGAAGGAAGATTGATTCATGGGACAAAAATTCTCCTCTCAAGAGATCCGTTAGTAGTCAGAGGGCACAAAGGTCTCGACATTATGAGAGGGGTACAAGTGCTGAACGAAGGTATAAGCGTAGCAGAAGGAGGTCACGCACATCAAAAAAACCTAAACATCAAGCTGAGGTTCATTCATCCAGAAGAAAGCATAGCAGGAATAATAATTTCCACTCCACAGATTATCAGCATAGTACAAGAGTTCCTACATTAGAAGATGATAGTGAAGGCCATCTTATTTATAGGTCAGGAGATATATTGCAAGACAGATATAAAATAATGGGCACTCTTGGGGAAGGTACTTTTGGGAAAGTTGTGAAAGTCAAAGATTTAGAAATGGACCATACTATGGCTCTAAAAATAATCAAAAACCTAGATAAATATCGGGAGGCTGCTAAGTTAGAAATAAATGTTTTAGAAAAAATTGCAGAGATTGATAAATTGTCTGTAAATCTATGTGTAAAAATGTTAGATTGGTTTGATTACCATGGGCATATGTGCATAGCATTTGAGATGCTGGGAATGAGTGTTTTTGATTTTTTGAAGGATAACAACTACCAGCCATATCCATTAGATCAAGTTAGGCATATAATATATCAGCTCTGTTTTGCTGTCAAATTCATGCATTATAATAAATTGACACATACAGATTTAAAGCCAGAAAACATACTTTTTGTAGACTCTGATTATGATTTGGTATATAATAGTAAGAGAAAGAGGAAAGTCCGAATTATTAGAAGCACTGAGATTAGATTGATCGATTTTGGCAGTGCAACTTTTGATCATGAGCACCATAGTACCATAGTTTCCACCAGGCATTATAGGGCACCAGAAGTTATACTAGAATTAGGATGGTCACAGCCTTGTGATGTGTGGTCTATAGGTTGTATTCTATTTGAATTATATTTAGGAATAACTCTTTTTCAAACACATGACAACAGAGAACATCTTGCAATGATGCAAAGAATTCTCGGTGAGATACCTGTCCGAATGTCTAGAAAAACGAAGATAAAACATTTCTATAGAGGAAAATTAGAGTGGGATGAAAAGAGCTCACTTGGTCGGTATGTAAGGGATAACTGTAAGCCGCTCATGAGATACAAGCAGTGTGATGATGAAGATCACAACCACTTATTTGATTTGATTTCAAAAATGTTAGAATATGAACCTTCAGATAGAATAACACTGAAAAAAGCTTTGGAACACCCATTCTTTCAGAAGATTCCTAGAGAAGAACGTATCTATAACCTTCCTCCAAAGGGGTTTCAAGACCATTTAAACTAATGTCCACAAATGTCATCTGTACCTTAGTTCATTCATTCACTCATCATTTTGGGATAATCCAAATACAAAATAATGTTGTCTCTAATTGTCTCCCACTTCAAATGGTGCTGATAACACTGTATGAGATTTTGCTGATTTTTCTCAGATTATTGACACTAATAACATACGGTAAATCTAATGTGATGAAAATTCCCAAATTGTTTTGTTTTATTGTGACGATTTGTTAAAAATCAATAATGAAATAATGTTTATGATTAGTGGCTTGAACAATCTGTTCTGCTGTACATTTGAGGTAATTTTGCTGTTTTTATATTGAAATGATATTAACATATTATATTGTTTTACAATCCATGGAAAGTATTTTGTGCTGTTCCACTGGCTAAAAGAACTATATTCAAAAAGCATTGAAAGTCCTCTTTA